CCCGCTGCCACAGCCCACTGCCAGGTGCATCCGTTTCTGGAACACGGTGAACAACATGCCGCTCTCTTCCATCGACACGGGCTCCCAGGTTTGCAACCTCGTGTGGTCAAAGAACCTCAACGAGATCGTGAGCAGCTGGGCGAGAGACCAGGCAAGACCCACAACAAACATTCAAGGCCGTCAAGTGGTTTCTCTGACCCATTACTCGGACTGTTTTTGCAGGTTACAACGGTTTTGTCGCTGTGTTTCCAGCCAGCGAAAGCCACGCTGCGATTGCTTTTCCCAGTCACTTAGTCACTTGAACCATTCTCAGGGACCCCCTTGCTGCAGAGAAAGTGGCCACGCAGTTGCGACCAGCTGAGGCACCCACGGATATTCGCTCAATCAAATCATCCTTTGGCCGCTTAGCAAAGTTGAACTTGGGATTGGCAGGATGATATGGAAGCAGGGCGCATGAAAATTGAGTGTTTTCTTTGTGGACACATGCGCCCAGGCTGAACCAGAGTTGTAAAATTTTCTACATGGTAGTAGGGAGATAACCCGTTCCTCCTTCAGAATTTTGAAGTGACACCACCTGTGGAATTCCGTTGGAACCGGCACTCCATCGCTGGTTTCTCGCGGGATGGTTGGTTGATGTCTCGGAAACAGATCGAATTTGCAATTGGCAGTTGTTTCTGAAGTCTAGACCCTCTTGAAAGTGTAGGCTGGGGTTGGCCATGCGAAGGAAGTATCGAGGGACTCGATGAGGTTCAGACTGCAAACACAGTTTTCTGGTGAGAGAAGGAAGGGGCCCACCCACTTGTTTCTGCGCATCCTCATGAAGGCCTCTTCAAACCTTCAGTCATAGGCTTCAATCTTCTAGCCAACTGAGGAAGTACCCCGCGATGACAAAGGTAGCCACCCTGACAGGGCATACCTATCGCGTATCTTGGATTCAGTTTCGCTCTTTCTTGGTGTGGCCTGCCCCTATCCAAACAACGTTCACTCGTGTTCTGCATGCTCGGTCTCATTATGCGACGAAGCGGTAAATCGTTCTACAGTGTTGGGCTTCCAGAATCCACAAAAACGGAGACATGGCAGAGGTTGTTTCGGTTCCAATGCCAGGCATGCAGAATGTTGTTGTTTGTTGCTTGGTCACAGGGTTTGAATTGGGTGAAATCGGACAGAAAACAGGCCTCAGCTGCACATTCTTGGGCAAACGGTTCAGCCACCAAGCGCGAATTCAAAGGGAGGACTCTGCCATTGTTCAGATTTGATGTAGTTGATCAAAAGAAACGCAGGTTACTGAATCCCTAGATTCTGTTTCCATGTTTACATTCAAACGCTGATGCCACACTACTTGTTTGAGGCAATTAAGAACTTTGAAGATTTCTCCGCCGGCTAGGTTCTTTACCTGGCGATCTCCCCCGATGGACAGACAGTGGTCACCGGCGCGGGGGACGAGACCTTGCGCCACTCGGGCCTTTTCGAGAAGCAAGTTGTTGGCCTTCAAATTTAGACAGCTAAGTTGAACACCCATTTTCATCTGTCGACAAGCAGGGCCCTTCGAGGATTCATTTTCTATGTCGCGCATGACCTCACTGAATTTGCTTGTTTGGGGTGCGGACGCGCAACAGTCGTAACTGCGAAGGCTTGACTTGGACTTTGAGAAACTCTTTGATCCCAGAAAATGTGACAAGGTCCCAACTCCAACCCTGACGGCCCCGCCTTTGGTCACCACAATTGTTGACACCAGCACTTGTGTAACCGAGGCTTTTGGAATGTGTTTCCCAGCGCCAAGTCCAGATCCGGATCTGGGTTATCCTCTTCGCTGCCCTTGGGGCGGACCATCCGATAATCCATGAGAGCTGCATGGCGGTGGTTGGTCCAGCGTGGACGAACATCCAAACGGATGAGCTGCAGATCGAAAGAGGGACTTGTCACAAACCAAATGGATCTAATAGGGCAATAGGGCGCATGGGGCACCACAGTACCGTACAGGTTCAGCAGTGCTTTTGGAGTTTGCACGAATGCGACGAAGACAAACACATATCACAAAGCTCACACCCTGGGATGCTATTCGTTTCATTAGTTGGAGCAGAAGGGGGAGTTACATTCGACTGTGGCACCCGCTGTCTGAAGAACTTCGCTCGGTGTTTCTGCACAGTTCACAATCACTTCCATGCTCCAGCAAGATCTTGACCCAGATAGAACCCCGAATGGCAACACCTCTCAACGTCTGCCGATTTTTGCAATGACTGATTTCCGGTTTCTTTTTAAAACAGGCAAGGCCTTGGACACATTGCAACTAGGTCTAGTGATGCCCAGTAATGCCTAGATGTCGCGCTTAGGCGATTCGGTGTGCACACCTTTCTTTGGCCCTATAGGAGTCTTAACTCGACATTCGTAAACCTGTCGGTTTCCGCGATTCCAAAGAAAAGAAAAAGAAAAGCTTAAAGACCGCGCAAGGGAAACAACAAGAAGAGAAACGATATGAAAAGAACAAGAGCCTCTTTGATTCAGCACCATAAGTGCTCAGGGTGCAGCTTGCCGACAGCCACTTGCTGAGCCATTGGTGTCTAAGGACTTGTAAAGGGTCTGAAGGTTACTAAAGCTAGGCATGTTTTTGACGGCGTTATATCAGCTGTCGCGAGTTTGATGCAAGAGCATAAGTCGTCACACCGCCGCTCAAGACTCAAAGGTATGGGCCTCGGACCGGCGTGACTACTTTGCGCGTTAGCCATAGGCGAATTGTCTACGGTGGTGGTTCTGGTGTACGAGCAACACCACCATATAGGCAGCTAGCAGAAGAGCTTTGAGCCCTGCAGCTGTCGATTCAGGCCAATACAGACAAACGTTCACTCCACGCCCGTTGGAGAACCCACCCAGTGCGAAGGGCAGTCGGAGGAAACAGGTGGTTGGGCGGCGGGGGTCAGAGCAAGGCAATTGAACCGGCATAAACATCGTTCTAACTATGATGCACCAGGGCAGCAGGGACCAGGAAGAAGAGACTGGGAAGAAGAGATGGGGAACAAAAGAAAAAGAGGAACAGGATGTGGAGAAGAGACTGCGAAGAAATTGAGAAGAAACGCGAACAAAATGGATGGGAAAAAGAGAGTGACAGCAAAACATGGGAAAGAGACACCGGGCAGAAAAGATTTGGAAGATGACTCTGGGAAGAGACTGCGAAGAACAAATGGGGAGAAGAGACTGAAAGAAGAGACTGGGGCGAAGAAAAAGAGGAGTAGAGTGTGGGAAGAAGAGAGTGGGAAGCAGAGACTGGTAAGAAAAGAGTGGGAAGAAGACAATAAGAAGAACAGACGGGGAAGAAGAGACTGGGAAGAAGAGTCTGGGAAAAA